GTCCAGCTAAAGTCAACCCACAACACACCTGAACACTTCCAGAGACTCCACCACCTCCCTGGGCTACTTGTTCCAATGCCTGAACACTCCTTCAGTGGAAAAAGGTTTCTTTAATATCTAATATGAACCTTGCCCAACGCAATTTAAGGTTATCCCCTCACAACCTTTCACTACAGTCTTGGTAGAAGAGACCAACCCCAACCCCACTAAAAACCTCTTTTCAGGTCATTGTAGAGAGCAATGAGGTCCCCCCTGAGCCTCCCCTTCTCCAGACTCAACAAGCCCAGTTCCCTCAGTCGTCCCTCAGCAGACATGTGTCGTGACGTGGGAAGAATGAGACCCTCAATATGAGAATCAGCAAGCTTCATTTATTGATCATTGCTAACAGCTTAATATATGCTTTATCATTAGCTCATACATATTGCAAAGGTTAACTCATGTAGTGGTTTAGACCTTGTTTTTCCCCAGAGGCCAAGAGAAGTGGTAGACCCCAAGGGGTGGAAACCCCTGGAAGTTTTGAAATTCTGCCCAATGGACGCTCCTGCAGAAATGTAAACATACCACAACCAGACCGGAAAAGAAGAGTTGTAGTTTGGTTGTAGGAGAGGTGGCCATGTTGTAGAGCCACGAGGTAGGGGCTCTGAGCCCCTTGGGCCCTCTGGCCCCCCTCCCAGCCCTGGCTGGGTTCTGCTTAAATGTTGATATCACCTCTTAATCCTTTCCTTTGTTGACACAGGTGGCTTTCAGTTGCTTTTTGTTTTGCTAATTACAATGTCCTGTTTACCAGCTAGTTAACACGGTACAAGGGCACTGTAACTTCGCTATCTAAGATGTTCCCACAGCCTAGGCAAGCCGTGTTCTATAGCCAATTCCCTACAGACATGTTTTCCAGAGCCTTCCCCAGCTCTGTTCCCTTCTCTGGACACACTCCAGTCCCTCAAGGGCCTTTTTGTACTGAGAGGCCAGAACTGGACACAGCACTCGAGGTGGGGCCTCCCCAGTGCCCAGCACAGAGGGGCAATCAGTTCTCTGCTCCTGCTGGCCACACTCTTCTCCACAAAGGCCACGATGCCCTTGGCCTTCTTGCCCCTCTGGGCACACTCTGGCTCATATCCAGTCTCTGTCAAGCAGCACCCGCAAGTCCCTTCCTGCTGAGTAGCTCTCAAGCCCCTCTGCCCCCAGCCTGGAGTGTTCCATGGGGTTGTTGGGACCCAAGGGCAGGCCCTGACACTTGGTCTTATTGATCCAGCCTGTCCAGATCCCTCTGCACAACCTTCCTGCCCTCCAGCACATCCACACTCACACCCAACTCAACTCACACTCACTCAACTTGGTGTTGTCCATGACTTTACTGAGGGGGCACTCGATCCCCTGGCCCAGATCATCAAGAACGGTGTTAAACAGGAGCAGCCCCAACCCTGAGCCCTTGGGAACCCCACTAGTGACCGGCCCCACCTGGATTTCCTTCCATTCCCCACCACTCCCTGGGCCATCAGCCACTTTGTCACCCAGCAAACAGTTCCCCGGGCAAGCCATGAGCAGCCAGTTTGTGCAGGAGATGCTGGGGGAGATGGTGCCAAAGGCTTTCTGGAATTCCAGAGAGACACATCCCAGCCTTTCCCTCAGCTGCTGAGCGGGTCCTTGGTCAGAGAAGGAGATGAGGTTGGTCAGGCAGGACCTGCCTTTCCCAACCCCACGCTGGCTGGGCCTGATCTCCTGGTTGTCCTGCCCGTGCCATGGGATGGCACTGAGGAGGATCTGCTGCGTGGACTTCCCCGGTCCTGAGGTCAATGGGACAGGCCAGGAGTTGCCCAGATGCTCCTTTTGGCCCTTCCTGGGGATGGGCATCCCATTTGCTTGTTGCCAGTCAGCTGGGACTTGTGCAGTTGTGCAGCACTGCTGGGGAATGAGTGAGAGTGGCTTGGCCAGCTCTTTCTCCAGCTCCCTCAGGACTCTTGGCTGCATCCCATGTGGGCCCAGGCACTTGGGGGGGTCTCACTGGCAGAGCAGGTCCCTGACCATTTCCTCCTGGATTGTGGGGCTTCACTCAGCTCCCCATCACCAACTTCCTGCCCTGGGAGCTGCGGATGCTGAGGACAACTGCTTTGGGTGTTAAAGACTGAGGTAAATAAAGCAATAGGTAACTTCATGGAACCAAGGACCACTGTGACACTGCAGGGCCTTCTGGAGCCAAAGGAGCCCTGGGACACTGTGGGATCTCATGGAATCAAGGCAGCACTGTCACCCTGGGAAAACTCCTGGAATTCAGGGCCCATTGTGACACTGCAGGTGTCACACATGGAACAAAAGGAACCCTGGGATGCTGCAGAAACTCCTGGAACCAAGGGACCATTGTGACATTGAGGGGGCTGATGGAATCAGGAGTCCATTGGGACAATCCAGGGCCTCATGAAATCAAAGGAATTCTGGGACACTGTCAAACCTCCTGGAACCAAGGGTTCCTGGTGACATGCGTGTCCTCCTGGAACCAAGGGAGCCCTGAGATATTTCTGAACCTCCCAGAATCCAGGGGCCACTGTGACCCTGCAGAACCTCCTGCATTCAAGTGGTCCTTGTGAAACTGCAGGCTCTCCTGGAACCCAAGGATTCCTGGAACACTGCAGAGCTCACAGAACCAAGAGGCCACTGTCCCACTGCAGCTACTTCTGAAGCACGAGGGACCCTGGGACAATGGGATATCTCCGAGAATCCAAAGAGCATTTGGGGACTGCAGGGCCTCATGGAACTAAAGGAACCTTTGAAGATTGTGTAAGCTCATGGAATCAAGGGGCCATTGTGACATGTGGGACCTCCTTGAACCAAAGGAACCCTGAGAATTTTTATGGGAACAAGTTAAGGCAGCAGCAGCTGCATTCAGTTAATCAGGATCCAAAAGGAGTGTTTTGGCCTTGACTGGTGTTTTCCATCCAGAGAGTGCTGTTTGCCAAAGTGAAACCACTTGGAACGCTCTGCATGGCAGCCTGGGTTTTTCTCTGGTGGCTGAACACAGCCAGCACATGAGGGGAGGGGAAAGTGTGGGATCAGGGCACTGCTTTGGGGCCGTGCTGGGAATTCCAGTGGACTAAAAGACAAAGCCCAAGTGCTGTTTCCAAAGGAACCCCAATGAAAGGGGGACACTGGAAAGATGGGCGGACAAGTCCCAAAATGGAACTCTGTGTGTGCAGCCTCATTTTCTCCTTCAGTGACCACAGGAGAGGGGAAAAAAATGGGGGTTGTGACCCCAAAACTGTTCTGGGGGGAAATTAGGGATTGAGGGGAAAATGGGAAAGTGGGAGGAACAGGGAGAAGGGTGGAAAAGGGGGGTGGTCTGGCGGGTCTGATGGTCCCATGGGGGTCTTTGGGCACAGGGGGGTGGCCCCCCTGAGCTCCCAACTTCCTGTGGGGTGCTGGGGGCTGCTGGATCCAATCCCAGCCTTGGATTATGCCAACACTTTCAGTTTAGAGGAATTACAGAGGTGTGATTAAACCACTTTTGTCACCCAGGTTTTAATGATGGCAAATCAGATCTATTGATACAAATGAATTATTTAGGGTTGCAAATGATCAGACAAAAGGTCTTAATCAGAATTATTTCCTGTACAATAGAAACACTAAAACTATCAGTAGTACAGGATAAGATAGGATAGTGCTCTACACTAAAGCAATTGTTGAAGCAATTCTACTAAAGCTGGCAGAAAAGCAATAATTCTTAATTAGAGATGGATGGAACTTCCCCAGACCAACGCTCGTGGGGAGATCTCTGCTCTCAACCTCCAGCAGTGACCTTGGGGGGTCCCCAGCCAAGGCAGGAATCTCTACACACCCCCAGGAAGGGTTCTGTTGGAAGAAGCTGCCCCTGTGAAAGGGGACTGGCCCTTTCTGGTCGAAAGGGATGGACTGACAGTCACTGGACTCCAGGGGTTGCCTCACCAACAGGAGGTTCATTGGGGGTGGAAGCAGCGGTCAAAGCTCTTCCCGCAGTCGGGGCACTTTTAGGGTGCCCTTACCGGTGGGTCCGTTGGTGTTGGGTCAAGCCAGAGCTCTCGGTGAAGCTCTTCCCACACTCCCCACACTTGTAGGGCCTCTCTCCGGTGTGGATGCGCCGGTGGGTGACAAGGTGGGAGTTCCGGTTGAAGCCCTTCCCGCAGTCGGTGCAGCGGAAGGGCCTCTCATCCGTGTGTGTCCGGTGGTGCTGTACGAGAGCTGAACTGGTCTGAAACCTGTTCCCACATTCCAAGCACTTGTAGGGTCGTTCCCCAGTGTGGATGCGTTGGTGTTTGTGGAGGGTGGAGCTGTCACTGAAGCTCTTCCCACATTCCCCACACCTGTAGGGTCGTTCCCCAGTGTGGAAATAACGGTGGGTGCGGAGGTTGGAGCTCTGCCTGAAGCTCTTCCCACATTCCCCACACGTGTAGGGCCGTTCCCCCGTGTGGATGTGCTGGTGGGTGAGGAGGTGGGCGCTCTGCCTGAAGCTCTTTCCACATTCCAAGCATCTGAAGGGCTTCTCCCTGCTGGGAGGCTGCTCAGGGACCACCAGGTCGGAGCTCTGGCTCAAGCTCTGGCCGCCCTCCCGGCACAGGCTGGGTCTTTCCTCCTCACAACCCCCTGGGCTGGCTTTGGAGCCCCTCCTGCGGGGGGATCTCCGGCCCTTTTCCTCCCCGCTGCCTTCCTGCGCCGGGGAGCCCTTCAAAACGGCCTCTCCCACCAGGGTCTCACGGGGGGATTTGTCCTCCGGGCTCTCCGTCCTCAGCTCGGGGCCTGGGGCAGGAAGCAAGAAGGACAGGCAGGGGATTTGCCTCCGGCCCACAGGGAAGGCCAAGGACATCCCCCCAACTCCGGCCCCGGCAGGACGGCGGCGCCAGCGGGGTTGTCCTGCAGCCGGGGCCATGCTCGGCTGACAGAGCCAGCACAACACCCGCCCAAAGGGACACTGACTTCCTCCTCACCTGCCTGGGGGGACCAAGGCATCTTCCTCTTCCTCGCAGCCTCCTCCTCCATCCGCCCAAGCTTTGGGAAGGACAGATCCTGATGGAGGGGGGGAAAACAAGGGCTGAGCGCATTGGCTTGGGGGTTCCTCCTGCCCAAGTCCATCTCTAGAACTCACCGGGCATCCTGTGTCCATAAAAAACTCCAAAACACCAGGATTAAGCCCAGAAAAACCCAAACCACCAAGATTCAGGAAAAAAACCCCTAAGAAATAGCAAGATGAACCCCCCCAAACTGCAAAAAGTTAAGTTTCAGCTGAAAAATACTCCAAAATATGAAGATTCAGCCCAAAAAAATTCTCCCAGTAGTTCCCCCTCTCTGGTCTTTGCCCTCTGGGGTTCAGAGAGTCTCTCCTCTCTGGGATGCTGGGGGTCCCACTTAGGGATGTTGTGAGTTTTGGGGGTCCCAAGGGTCCCTTCTCCTCTGACTCTTGCCTTCGGGGTGCCGTGTTCCCAGACATTCCCCCTCTCCAGGTTCTCCACTCTGTTGTCCCGGGGATCCCAGGGTTCCCCGCTGTCCAGGTTTCCCCTTCTCAGCGCCCCCTCTCCAGGCTCTTGGGGCTCTCACAGCTCCCCCCTCTCTCCAGCCTCCCCCGCTCTCCAGGGATCAAGGCATGGGGACACTGAGGCACCCCCACAGCAACCCCACTCCCGCTCTCCCCCTCCCCTTAGCCCCCATCTCCCTGCCTTTTCCCATTGCCCCCTCAAACCCCAGCTCCCCCCAGCTCCCTTTGGGGGTGACCCAGCGCCCCTCACACTCCCTTTGGGGGTCCCACCTGCTCTTTTTGCTTCTCTCGCCCCTTTCCCATCGTGGCCGCTCCGCTCACCTGACAGCTGCAGGAAAGGCAGGGAGAGGGGTGGAGCAGCAACAGCAGAACAATAACCCCCCCATCCCGTGGGTGCCCGGGAAGGGGGAACTCGTCCCAAATATGCTGGGGGCAGCGCAGGGGTCGGGACATACTCAGGTTGCGAGCACAGATTTCCCTGCAAAGGCTGCAGTGAGTCAAGCTCTGGAGAGTAGATTGTGCCCCATGGATGGGATTGAAGAGGCTCCCACAGGTCCCCAGCATCAATCAGGAACCAGGAATATACACAAAAGGCCCCCCAAAGATTGCAGGGGGAGTGTCCTGTAGGGAGGGGACAGTGTCACCCCACCAGGGCGGGGCTGGCAAGTGGGAGGCTGCTCCAGGGGTCTGCAAGAGGCCTCGTGCTCTGCTGGGCCCCAGCAGTGGCTGGTAACAACACCCCTGGCTGCCCCCGGCCCTGGGCAGCTCTGCTGCCACAGGCTGTGCCCTCACCGTGGCCCTGCAATGGCCCTGCCTGTCCCTCACCCGTGGCCCTGCCCATGGCCCTGTCCCTTGGCTCTCTCTCTGCCAGCTCAGTGTGGGGCACATGGTCTGGGGGTCCCTCCCAAGCCCCCCGGGCAGCCGGCGTTGGCTGGGGGGATGTGAGGGCTGGGCCTGCTCAGCACAGCCCAGGCCTCGTGCCCAGCGCCTCTTTCCTGCCCCACACAAGAGCTTCCCGGCCCCTCAGGGCTCCCCTGCTGCTGCCTCTGCTCCTGGCCCTGCCTTTGCTGCTCCCTTGGCTGGGGCAGCGGCTGCAGGGGGGGATGGCAGCAGCTTCAGCTCCACGGCACTTCCTGGGGGGAGCTCAGCCCGGGGGGACGGGCAGGGACCTGATGGGGATGGACAGGGGCCCAGCAGGGACAGCCAGGGCCTGCAGGGGAAGGCACAGGGACAACCTGGCCCCCCACACTGCCACGGCTGTCTCTGCTTCTCCTTGCAGGCTCCGTGGCCAGGCACAGTTGGTGTTCCTGGGTGCCCACCATCTCAGCACTTGCAGCCGCTCAAATCAGCGCCCGCAGCTCTGCAGCAAAGCCCCAGCTCACCTGGCACACAGGGGATGGACACAGCACCTGCTCGGGGATGGGCACTCACAGCTTTGTGCCTTCCCCACCACGGGGCTCTCCTTCCTCAGCAGCACCTCTGCTTTATTCTCAGGCTCACCTCCGGGCCACTTCTCAGGCTCACCTCAGGGCCTGGGCTCAAGGACAGGAACCTGCAGGGAGGGGACATCATGTGCAAGCTGAGGGCTGCCTGCTTGCACTGGCCTCTGGGCTTCTTTCTCCTTCTACAACCATCCCAGAACTTAGCCTGCTTTTCTAACACCGCACATTTACAGACTATCATGGTCGGGCTTCGCGAACAAAGATTTGGGAAGGGCTCTACCCACGTTTGTTGCAAGTGCGTTGGTGGCTGAAAAGGCCAATACGAGATAGGCATGTCCGGTTGCAAAAGGCACAACAGAAAGACTCCTTAGATGGTATATTCTGCAAGGCACGATTCTTTCTGCGTTGCCTTTACAGACTAACCTTGGAGATAGATATGGACAGACATCTCTATCCCCCTGTGGATAGAGCCTCAAGCATGTGCTGCCATAGGAATGGCAATCAGAGAATCACAGAATCAGCTGGGTTGGAAAAGACCTCTGAGATCATCAAGTCCAACCCTGGATCCAACCCCGCTGTGCTTCCCAGACCATGGCACTGAGGCCACATCCACTCTCACCTTCAACACCTCCAGGGACGGGGACTCCACCCCCTCCCTGCCTAGCCCATTCCAAGGCCTGATTACTCTCTAAGCAAAAAATTCCTTCCCAATATCCAACCTAAACCTCCCCTGGCACAGCTCAAGACCCAGCCCTCTTGTCCTCCTGCTGCTTCCTGGCAGAACAGCCCCACCCCCACCTGGCTACAACCTCTGGCAGGGACTTGCAGAGAGTCAGGAGGTCTCCCCTGAGCCTCCTCTTCTCCAGCCTCAACACCCCCAGCTCCCTCAGCCTCTCCTCACACCACCTGTGCTCCACTGCCTTCCCCACCCTCGCTGCTCTTCTCTGCACCTGCTCCAGCCCCTCCAGGGCCTTCCTGAGCTGAGGGGCCAGAGCTGGACACAGCACTCCAGGGGTGGCCTCACCAGCGCTCAGTTCAGGCCAACAATCACCTCCCTGCTCCTGCTGCCACACTCTTCCTCAGCCAGGCCACCATCCATTGGCCCTCTTGGCCAACTGGCCACACTCTGCCTCCTCTTCAGCTTCCTGTCCATCCCCACTCCCAGCTCCCTTTCTGCCTGCCTGCTCTCCAGCCACTCTGGTCCCAGCCCAGGGGGCTGCCAGGGCTTGTTGTGGCCAGCACTTGGTCTGGTTGACCCTCATCCCCTTGGAATCAGCCCATGGATCCAGCTTGTCCAGGACCCTCTGCAGAGCCCTCCTGCCTTCCAGCACATCAACACACCCCAGCTTGGTGTCAGCTGCACATTTGCTGATGAAATGCCTGGTTCTGCAGGAGCTGCAGATGCTCAAGGGGCAGCAGGACCAAGTCAGGGGCCTGGGGGGCTTTGGGGATTGGGGGTACAAACCAGGACAGACCAGGACAGACCAGTACCTCCTCACTGCTCCCTGGATCTCTCCTGGAGCTGGGCCACATTGTCATGGGACACCTGAGCTCCCCCAGTGCTCTCCCAGTACAGCCCAGTGCCACCAGTACAGCCCACTGTGTTCCTGTCCCAGGGTGCCACGTGATCCCTCTTTGGGGGTTGGAAGGGATTTGAGGGGGGAGCTGGGGGAGATTTGGGAGGATCTGGGGGAGTTTGGATGGGGATTTGGGAGTTTGGGGGCAGCTTTGTGTGCATTTGGGGGAGTTAAAAGGGTTCTTGGAGGTACTGAGGGGTCAAAGGAATCTGTGGGGGGAGGGGATTAAAGGGAAAAGGAGGGTTGGGGGACATTTGGGGGGGGCTAATGGGGTCTCGAGGAGGAGAGGAGTGGCAGCACCACGAGCAGGTGAGTCCAGAAACCCCCTTTGGTGTCCCCAGCACCCTCTTGGTGTCCCCAGTTCCCCCCTTGACACCCTGAGACCCCCCTGGTGTCTCCCATGTCCCCAGGGCCTCCCATGTTCCCAATTCCTGGGGGATACTGGGACACACTGGGGGGAACCAGGGGGCACTGGGAGGGACGGGGGGGTTACTGAGGGATGCTGGGAGGGCACTGAGTGGGACTCAGGAGTTACTGGGGAATTACCAGGACACACGAGGAGACACTGGCAGGTTACTGGGCCATACAGGGGGTTACTGGGTGCTCACTGGAGGATCACTGGGCCATAGTGGGGGGCAGTGGGAGGTCACTGGGACACACTGGGTTGTCACTGAGGGGGTTACTGGGCCGTACTGAGGGTCACTGGGAGGTCACTGGGCTATACTGGGGGCACTGGGATCCCCTTACCCGGATGTGGTACATCTCCTTCCCGGACTTCGGGAGGCACCCCCAAGACTCCTTCCCTGTGGGCTGGGAGATCCCCTAAACTCCACCCCCGGGCCCTCCTCCCTGTGGGGTCTCTGTGTGCTGAGTTTTGGGGGTCTCTGGGGTTCGAGGGGGCATTGGGATCCCCTTTCCCTGGGGTCGGTCCGCCGGGCCGACAGGGGCGCTGTGGCGGGACGGGAAATGGCCAACTGCGCACGGTCTCACGGGAGTTGCAGTTCCCTCATGAGGACTCCGCCGGCGCGCCTGCGCAGTGCAGCCAGGGCGCTGGGACACGCCCCCCCAGGCTCTGCCTCTCGGGAGCCCCCGAACCCCTCGGCTAAACCCCCCCGAGCCCTCCAGCCTTTCCACCCACAACCGCGCTCCCCGCAGCCCCCGAGTGGATCCCCAGAACCCCGTTCTCCGAGCGCATCCGCACCCTCCGCCGCCATCGCTGCCCCGCAGACAACATGGCGCTCTGTGCACGCCCCGCCTTTCGAGACCCCGCCGCAGCCAATCAGCGCTCGGCCCGTCCCCGCCCTGTCCCTGCCGGTCCCGCCCTGTCGGGTGAGGGGGGCGGGCACGGCGGGAAAGCGGCGGGGGGGAAAGAGCGGGGGGACCCCAAAGGGAGCGCGAGGGGCGGGGGGTCACCCCCAAAGGGAGCTGGGGGGAGCCGGGCTTTGAAGGGACGGTGGGAAAGCCAACTCTGGGAAACTCTCTCCTCTGAGATAAGTTGTGCTGCCAAAGGAAACGCTGACTCCAGAGGGGCCCGAGCAGCGGCAGAGCCTGCGGGGGTGGGGGGGAGGCAGCGGCTCTGCTTGATTCCATGGAGTTCTGGGGAGTCACGTGGCCCCTTGGTTCCATGAGGCTCCACAATATCACCACGGCCCCTTGGCTCCGTGAGGTTCCACAGTGTCCCTGCATGCCTTTGGTTCCATGGGGTCCTGCAGTGTCCCAGTGCCACTTTATTCCACGAGCTTACACAGAATCACAATAGGCCCTTGATTTCAGGAGGTTCCACTGTGTCCCAGGGTCCCTTGGATTCCACGAGGCCCAGCAGTGTCACAGTGGCCCCTTGACTCAAGGAGATTGCCCTGAGTCACAATGGCCCATTAAATTCAGGAGGTTCTGCAGTTTCCCAGGGTTTCTTTGTTTCCATGAGACCCTGCAGTGTCACAATGGCCCCTTGGTTCCATGAGGTTCCAAAATGATTCAGCATTCCTGAGGCCCTGTATTGTCACAGTGGCCCTTCTTATCCCATGAGCTTCCAGAATGTCTCAGGGTTCCTTCTGTTCCATGAGGCCCCAAATGCCACAGTGGCCCCGTGGTTCCAGGAGATTCCACAGTGTCCCTGTGTTCCTTTGGATCCAGAAGTCCTTGTAGTGACACAATTGCCCCTTGGTTCCAGGAGCTCACAGAGCATCAGGATGGCCCCTTGTTTCCATGTGGTTCTCCAGTGTCACAATGGTCCCTGGATTTCCTGAGGCTCCACTGAGTCCCAGGTTCCTTTGGTCCCCATGTCCCAACAGATTCCTTTGATTCCAGGAGGTTGCAGTGTCTGCAGATCCCTCCAGCTCCAGAATGCCCAGCAGTGTCAGAGTGGTCCCTGGAGTCCCTGAGGTTGCTCAGGGTCAGAATGGTGCCTTGACTGCACCAAGTTGCCCAGGGTCCTCCTCTCAGGGCCCCTGAGAGTGACTCTCAGCTGGGGCAGCTCTCAGGGGTGTGCACAGACGGCTCCCCTGACTCTTGGTGCTCGAGGCTGCTGCTGCCTGGCAGGGATGGGACAGAGGTGACCTGCCAGCCCCTTGCCAGCCCTGGGCCCCCTTGGCATCCTGAGGCACAGCTGACTCCTGCCAGCATTGCCACCCCTCTGCTCCTTGTGTGCCACGGGCTGAGCAGATCCAGGTCACCTCCCATTCCTCTGCCAACCCCCTGGGCCTGCTCTGGGCCCTCCAGGTCCTTGCCCTGCTCCCAAGGGCTGTGGGGGTGTTTAATGGTCAGGGCTTGGGGTTTAGAGCTCAGGGTGGGGATTAGGCAGAAGCTTAGGCAGGTTTGGTGTTCTGCTGGGCCAACCCTGCACACTCCCACTCTCAACTGGGCACTGGCATTTGCTTTGTCAGAGCATTCCTTGAGCACATTCCTGAGGGTGACTTGGCTGTGTGCAGCAGAGCAGTGAGAAACCCAGTGGCCCAGGCAGCAGCTGCCATGTGGGCACAAGCTCTGCTGCCCAGGAGGGTCCCGTAGTGCAGGGGTTTGCAGATGGCAACGTAGCGGTCATAGCACATGATGGTGAGGAGGGAAAACTCTGTTCCAAGGAAGAAGAAGAGCAGAAAGACCTGAGCAGCACATCCCTGGTAGGAGATGTGCCTGGTGCCCCAGAGGGCATTGTCCGTGGCTTTGGGGACAGTGGTGCAGATGCAGCCCAGGTCTGTGAGGGAGAGGTTGAGCAGGAAGAAGCCCATGGGGGTGTGCAGGTGGTGGTCGCAGGCTACGGCGCTGAGGATGAGGCCGTTGGCCAGGAGGGCAGCCAGGGAGATGGCCAGGAAGAGCCAGAAGTGCAGGAGCTGCAGCTCCCGCCTGTCTGAGAATGCCAGGAGGAAAAATTGGGGGAGGGAGCTGCTCTTGGGCATTTGCTGTTTCACGGCAAAGGGTCCTGTTAAAAATAGAATCCGAGAATCAGAAAAGGCAGAAAAGGAAGAACAGACCCTTCTGAGCAAAGCTGCCCCATTTTTCCTAGAAATAAACTGAAACTGAAATGCATTTCCTTTTTTCTGTTTTGTGCTGGCTGAGGGTGGTGTGAGGAGCAGGAGCTCTGGCCATGTGCTGTGTAGAACTCAGCTTTGCTCTGCTGTAGTGGGGACATGGAGCTGGTTTGTGACAGACACAGGGGATGTCAGATGTAACCCACCTTCTATGGACAAATTCATTTTCATGACTCTAAGGAGTGTGGTCTACAGAACAGAGGCTTAGCATGTCCTCAAAA